GCGCAGGCCCTGTGCTCATCTGCTCACTGACCACACATATACATATCACAAATACGTTTATACCTGCGATTGCTGAACCCACAATGTTGTACAACAATATGCAATTGGGGTATTGGGATTTGACCTTGTTGTTTTGGATTTGTGTACTTTTTTTCTATATATACTGTTTTAGGGGTCTGCATCATCTTGCAAAGGGACTATTCCTTTTCTACTACTTTACTCTGCTGTTGCAGTTGCTTCTCTCTCACACACCGTGAGTATTTGTGTCCTGCATCCACTCTCTTTCTCTCCCTTTTCCCCCTTTTTTATTGTTTTCCTTTTCTAGATCAGTGTTTTTTGCGCAAACCAAACTATTTTTTCTCTCACAATGATGAAGATGAACCGTGTGATGTGTTTGTTGGCCGTTCTGCTGTGCTGCGCCTGCGGGTCTACTCTGACTATTGGAGTGGCAGCCGATAGTTATGATGAATGGAAGGATTTTCTTAAAACAACATCCTATGAANTGTGTATAAATACCGAGTAAGATATTGGAGTGTGTGTAGAGACGTTTATTCAATATTGTTTTGATACCATTTGTTTTCCACTTCTTTCTAAATTCAAGGTGTTGTTTCAATATCTGTGTAACTCTGGGTGTGTTTTATTGTGTGAGTGGTTTATTGTTGTTCCCTCATTGGGTTGTTGTGTTTGATTGCTGTTGTGATGTGTATTCACTCCCTCTCTCTCTTTCTCTTTGTTGTTTTCTTTTTCTAGATCAGTGTTTTTACGCAAACCAAACTATTTTTTCTCTCACGATGATGATGATGAACCGTGTGATGTGTGTGTTGGCCGTTGTCCTGTGCTTCGCCTGCGGGTATACCATGACGGCTGCTGCTGTTGAAACTGCTTCCCGAGTCAGTACTGTTGTGGAGGTGGACTGTACGAACATGGATAATCCACATATACGTCGAAATGATATGAGCGAAGAACGTCCGTGTGTTACTGAGAAAGATGGTGAAGAATGCAAGAAATACATAGCGCTTTGCAATTTTCGTCAACAAGATGTAGCTTCAAATCGCAATGATAACACCGACCGTCTGAATCAAGATACTGAAAATGATGGAAAAGGTGCAGAAAATCAAAGGCCAAATGGAAGTGCTGACGTTGACACTATATTGCCAGTCACACCAGGTGATCAAGAAGCTTCGAATAGCAATGGGGGTAACAGTACACCTGTTAACTCTAATCCTAACCAAGAACCTCCTGCAGCGGAGAGCAGTACCACAAACGAGAATACAGCTAACCAGCAATCTCCTCCAGCGGCAGAAGATGCAACTACACCATCAGCCCCACAAGAAAATAGCAATTCTGATTCAACGACCACTACTCCGTCAAGTCCCGAGAACACTACCACAGAAGCACCATCCACCACTCCAACTCCTTCAACCGATGCAGAGATCAGCACTATTGCACCCACCGAGCAGAACAGTGCCAATGCTGACAGCAGTTTCAGTCCTGTATGGATACGCACTGCCGCACCTCTGCTGATTGTGGCTGCGTTGGTATTGTAAAACGGTGTACTGAGGGTATTCATTTGATTGACGGAACCACTTATAATAATAATTTCGCCATATATATATTATTGCTACTTCCGTAGTCAAATAATTTACTACACATTTGGGGGTTTATTTTAATTATATTGAACTTCCTCTTTTTATTTGTATTTTTTTTTCTCCTTCCTCTCATTTGATTTCTCGTTTTTTGGTTGTGTGCGCAGGCCCTGTGCTTATCTGCTCACTGACCACGTATATATCGTATGTATCACAAATATATATTTGCACCTGTGATTAATAAACCCAGAATGTTGTACAACAATATACACTTGGGGTTTTGGTATTTGACCTTGTTGTTTTGGATTTGTGTACTTTTGTTTTCTATATATACTGTTTTTGGGGTCTGCATCATCTTGTAAAGAGGCTATTCCTTTTCTACTACTTTACTCTGCTGTTGCAGTTGCTTCTCTCTCTCTCTCTCACTGTGAGTATTTGAGTCCTGTATCCACTCTCTTTCTCTCTCTCCTTTTTTCCCTCTTTTCCAGACTCCCTGCATAGATCTGCAACCTCAAATGACAAGGAAGACAACAAGACACAGATGAGAAATGATGAAGATGCGCCGTGCTGATGGGGGAGCTGAATGTGGGGTGTTCAAGTGAGCCGGAGACGGTTCCATGGGAGACAAAATGTGAAAAAGAGGTTGCAGAAGCAAGAGATCAACTAAATAAGGCAAGGGAAGAGAAAAGGAAACTTGAGGAAGAAAACAGAGAGGTTGAAGCAGAAGGAGTGAGGCAAGCGAGGAGGGAGAAAAAAGAGAGGGATGAGGCGCAGAAACAGGCTGAAGAAGAAAAAAGAAAACAGAAGGAAATGGCGGAGGCGCAGAGGCAGGCGGAAGAGAAAAGGAAAAAAAAAGGAGAAACCGACTGAAGAAGAACGGGATAAAGGTGTAAAAGAAGAAACGGAACGGCCGACAAAGGCCATGAAAGAAGTTGACAGCAGCAGTAGTCCTGCATTGGTGCACATTCCCTTGATTCTTCTTGTTCTGCTGTGTGTACTGGGCTACACTCTCGTGTACTAACTGGTGTTCCCATAACGCAGTTGCACAGTTAACCTTTGTTTGAGTGGACATGGATGCATTGTAAGGGCACTGTTATTTTGGTTGGATATCAGTCCTTCTTTTTACTCTTCCAGCACGATAAATCTCTTGTTTACATTCTTTTCCTGAACACATCTTGAACACATCTATTGGACTCCCTATGACACTCATCACATGACAAACCATCATTTTGTGAGGGGAGTGTCCTCTTTGTTTGTTCGCATTATTATCTGGGCTCTGCTTTGCCGTCGTTCACTGTGCCCTCATGGTGATGTGTGTGTGTGTGTTCCTTGATATTACTAATTATTGCTTTTACCCATGGGAATGGAATACAATCCCAATATGTTTTAATTGCTGTGACTGGAATGTGAAGAATGGCAGGAGGTTCAGGACACAGAAACACGCACACTACCAACCCTCCTTCTCTTTGTGTCTGTGTGTGTGGACTGTCATCATGTGTGCATCATTCCCACTGCTCGCCCTGTACGAAAGACACACACACACCTACTGCTGGGAATTGTGTTGGTTGCCTCGTTGACATGTTCACATGGTGACCACGGCTTTCTTTTTGTTTTGTTTTTATTATTTTGCTTTTCCTTGTGTGTGTTTCATTATAATTACATTGCACGTTATGTGCAGCTGTGTGTTTCTCTTTTGCGTTTCCTATACACCTTGTGTATCTTGTGTGTTCATTTTTATGGAATGTTTCTTGTTATATACAAAAGTACTGAGAAAAAATAAATAATATATATATGGTTACTACAGTTTCATTATACAATAGTTTTCCGCTTGGTATAATACGGTAAATATTGCTGTCTCCAGGCATTGCAACCACAGTAACGTATGAATTTCTGTTTTTCTTTTACATCTTCGTACTATTATTCTCTCTGCCTCGCGCAGTCACTCTTTTTTTTACATTTTTATTTTGGTATAAAGATTGATGGATTGTAGGTGTTTGAGTGTACCCCTCTGTTGTGTGTTTATTTGTGTGTTTGGGTTGCCACTCACACCGACCACGTAATGAAAACACATTTCTTTGTTCCCACCTTCTCTCTCGGTGGTGTCACCCACAGCATTACCACGGAGATATTACTGCTCTTGTGGTGTGTGTTATTTGTTGTGGTGTTTGCTTGAGTGACTGTAGCCTGCGGGGAGGTGGAGTGAAACTGGTCCGCTTCCGTTTCACGTAATGGGTCTGTTTTTTTTTTTTTCTTTCGGC